GAGCCCATTGGGACGGTGTGGCTGAGTTCAAAGATACCCACCAAAGTCTGGGCCCTGCTTTAGAATAAGCCTCAAGGACAGAGCAGGAGACAGGGGCGGCCTGGGTGGTGAGCGTGGGCCTTTCCCCACGCTCTTGTTGAAGCACACACAGAAAGAGTCCCGTCACGCTCAGTTGTCTCCCAAGATTTCCTTGGACCCCAGGAAGGACCAGGAGATGTTGGGAGGTGGAGCGCCAGGTCCTGTCCTGCTGCTTTGGCTCACCCCGCTGTCACTCTCAGGAGCAGACCTTCCACGTGGGTCTGACGTGGACTGTCCATGTCACTACTTCCAAGGCCAGGGCTGTCCTGTCACTCTAGCCAAGTCCTCCACGGGGAGAATTTTATGTGTGTGCCATCTGAAGCCACAGCCAACAGGTCTCCAGCAGGGCTGGGCACACCACCGGGGACTGTCAGCTCAACTGCCAGCTGCCAGGGGCATTTTCAAGCAGAAATAATGGCCACTGGGCTTCTAAAGAGCCATGACTGATCCTCGGGCCCCCATCTGGACTGCTGGGGACTGAAATAGGTCGCGGGACAGTGAGCAGCTGAGACCCCCTCGGCTGGCCGGACAGCACCTGTTGAGATTTCCAGGGCAGAGTCATGGAGTTAGGGTAATGAGCACCAGATCCCCAAAAAACAGCTGACTGGAGTAACCCACCTTAAAGGGGTGGGAACTTGGGGGGCATGTTGGGTGTGGAGCACACAATGTTTCCTCGGAGGATCTAGCAGGTAAGTGCTGTGGCTCAGCAGCCTTGTGGGTCAGAAGCAGGGCTGCATGTGGAGCTGTAGTCTGTGTCCTTGTGCTGTGGACAGTGCTCCCTGGACTGGACCATGGAAGACTCTTCTGTCACCTGCCACCTGTGCCTTTTTCCCTTAGTAATAGCACCTTGAGGGCCACACACCCCCTGGCTGCTCAGCCCATGGAACATGTGGCCTCCTGGGAGCCCTGTGCACCTCCAGTTTGGGGTCATGTTGCTTTCCATTTCTTAGTGCTGCTCCACTTACCCAGGACCCCCAGCTCTGTAGCAGGCGTCCTGTGGAACACCTCATCCATCTCTACCTGCTGCAGATGCGTTTCCCGCTGTTACAGGCCTGGTCCTCTCAACAGACATGGCAGGATCCAGCTCTGCTCTGGGTTCAGCATTCATTCCTGAGCAGGCCTTTACTGCCTGCCTGCAGAACTCGGGGTGAGGGGCAGGCAGCAGGACTGCTGCACAGGACAGGGACTGACAGTTGTCCTTGCCTGGGGTCAGCGGGGCCCAAAGTCAGCAGTGAAGTGAGGACCATATGAGGGTGGAGCTTGCCGTGCTCTTTCATTCCCACTGCTGCCTGAGCCCCTCCTTTTCTATTTGGTTTTCTTACTCTCCAAGTAAAAAATACAATGTCAAGACACATGCATAATGCCTAATTTGAACCCTAGGACTTACAATCTCGCGTCTGTAATCCTTAATCTCCATGCAGTTAAAGAACACCTTGTATAATAGGGGGATGGCTACACTTTGTGGAACTAGAGGAGACTTGCACAGCTAATGCCTCATTTTCTTTTCTCTCCCCACCCTCTCTTCCTCCCCCATTTCTACTCACTCCCCTTCCCCTGCATGTCACATTCTGCTGGGTCCCATTCTCCAGTGATCTGTGAGTGATAAGGGCTTCCTTCAGGAGTCATTTCTAGGCCCACATGGCTTGCCATCTCTAGAAACCATGTCCCTCTGTTTGTCCCAGTCTGCTGGCCACAGGACCTCACAGGCTCCTGAGCCCCTCCCATGTGTAACCACTTGTAACTTGGCGGGCCTCACGCACACCAACCCCTGATGTCAGGAGCTCCAACAGAACCACACAAAGCAAGCCTGGTTTCCAAGAGATGCCCACTAAGTCATGGTCCCTGCTGTGGGAACCCAGGCCCCGCTGCAGGGACCCGGTTCCCTCTAGATTGACCAGCATTGAGCCAGTTCCATCTGGAATGACCCACATTGAGCCGCAGCTAAGAAGCAGTTAACCTCAGGCTGATTTCCTGGGACCAGTGGTGTTTACTCCAGCTGGGAAGAAGCTTCCTGAATTTGCCAGAGTGTGCTGGCTGCTGTGGGCCAGTGTTTTCACAGAAACCGCCTGGCTGCAGGGCAAGGGAGGAGGGGGCGCTGCTGGGGCCGTGGAATGGGAAATGAGGTCCTTTCTTCCCGTGCTCCTCTGCCCTGATTTGCGTGACAAGTCAGTCTTTCTGCTCTTTTTTTTCTTTAACGTGTTTGTCTATTGATTATCACTCTGTCTCCTATAGGGGGACAAATTAGTTTGCCCACCGGGCAGTGGCCTAAATTTGGCAGAAGCCCCAACCATGCCGACAGCAAAGCAGAGCAAAAGCCCCCCCCCACTTGAGAAGCCAATTGTAGAGGAATTTCAACAGCCTAAGGATGTGCATGGAGATTCTGGAGGCCTCCAGCAGAGCCCTGAAGAGAAATCTTGGCAGAGGAGAATTGGGAAAAGGAGGCGGGGAGAGATCCTCACACGACCCTTTGGCTCCATTTGGCTCCATTGAAACGAAGCTCAAAGCACTCTTCAGACGAGGCTGCCGTTTCCCTAGGGAAAAAGGCGTCAAAGGGGTTGATGAGCGGTAGGAACATGGGTCTTGGCTCTGCTAGGCCCAACACCATCTTTGCCAAACGTTTTGTTTGTTACCGTGTTTTATTTCAACTCTCGCTGAAATCTGAGCATAAGCTACCTACATGTGTGGCTTCAAAAATAAAAAATTCAACACAATGTCCTAACTACATAGAACAACAAATAAGGAAAGTGATGCATGACTACTCATTTGAAGTTAGATCAGTCCTTGTTCTCAGTGCCAATGCTCAGGCACAAATGCTCATGAAGGGCCCACCAGGTCATTCACGCAGGAGGTCCGGGTGAGAATGAGACATGTGCACAAGTTAGGGATGCCAACCTCAGTAAGTTCAAAACAAAATAAATACTGCCTGCTATAGTTAAGCCATCGTGACCATCCTGGGAAACAGAGCAGCCATCAGAACAGCACGTAACCCATCATTACTCCCAGGAAAAGTAAATTTGGCTGCGGATGTAAAATCATAACTCTGCTTTAAAGAGATAAGAAAAAAAAGGTTTACTGTGAGCCAAGATGGAGTGGCCAGAAGACAGGTCGCATTGGCCTAAATGTTCCATTCTCTTTTATAGCCACAGAATAAAGGGAAGTACTACCTAGTTGGGTACTAATGGCTCACCTCTGTAATCCTAGCTACTCAGAAGCTAAGTACTGAGGGTTGTGGGTTCAAAGCCAGACCAAGTAGGCAAGTCTATAATACTCTTATCTCCAGTTACCCAGGAAAAAGTCAGAAGTGGATCCGTGGTTCAAGTGGTAGAGAATCAATCTTGAATGAAAAAGCTAAGGGACAGCACCCAAGCTCTGAGTTCAAGCCCCTCTATCAGTACAAAATGGAAAACTAATTCTTAAAGTCTCCAATTACATTTCTGGAAACATCAGGTAGGGGGGTGGCAGTCAGGTGGAGACCCCCTTCCACAGGTTGCTAACATCACCTTATTGCATTCTGATTGTTTTTTCTTAGTTGGTGGTGAGAAGTGGTTGAACTTAGAGCTTCACGCTTGTTAGGCAGGTGCTCTACCATTTGAATCATACCCCAGCCTCCTTTGCTTTAGGTTGTTTGTTTTGTTGTTGTTATTGTTTTTGTTTTTGTTTTTTGTTTTGTCAGTCATGGGGCTTGAACTCGGCCTGGGCACTGTCCCTCAGTTCTTCAGCTCAAGGCTAGTGCTCTACCACTTGAGCCACAGTGCCCCTTCCAGTTTTCTGAGTAGTTTATTGGAGATAAGAGTTTCACGGACATTCCTGCCCAGGCTGGCTTTGAACCGTGATCCTCAGATCTCAGCCTCCTGAGTAGCTAGGATGACAAGCATGAGTCACCGGCTCTCAGCTGTTCTTGTTTTTTTAGGTATGATCTCAGACTCTTTGCCCAGAGTAAACTCAAATCCCAATCTTCCCAATCTTTAACTCCTAAGTAGTTGGGATTAAAGATGGGAACCACTCAGCCCTGCCCTGTTAGCTTTAGGAAAGCTGAGGTCTGCCAAGTTTAGTGATATACCCCAAGAAGTTTACCTAGTAGTCACCAGGCTGTTGCCTCAGATAATGCAGGTTATTGTTCGTGACTGTTCAAGGAAATGTCAGCTCTTGATCTCCAGTGACTTACCTCCGGGGCCCCGATGCTCCTAGTCAGCCAAGCTCAGAGAGTGCAAGCTCCTTCAGAGACCTTGTTGGCTAGCAGAGTGAACACAGCTCTCCACCTTGTCCTGAGAAGCAATCCAGGCAAGACGGGAGATGCAGTGCGGTAGCAGGGAAGCTTAGTGGAAAGGAATAAGTTTCCATAGACCAAAGTGGGTCACCACGAGGGCAAGAGTGACAGTCTCCGCTGGCACAAGTGTCTGTTGAAGTGCAAGAGGCTGGGAGCACAAACCTCCCCGAGGACAGGCCCATGGCAGCATCATGGAATTACATTTGGCCTCTGGGATCAAATTGTGTGGGACCTGACTTAGACTTTCCTTACTCCTTAGAGGTGGGGGACCCAGAAATAACCTGGCCACGTTCCTTGACCTTGATCTCCACAGAGCTGGGGCACCTCTAAGTGGGAAAGTTGAAGTTGGATTCTGTCTTCTCTCAGAGGCCTGGGGACCTCATCCTCTACATTAAGTGTTCCCTTTCTAGTGGCTAAGTGCTACTTGTCAGGGTGACAGGGCTCAGATCACTGCAAATGGCATCTGGTGACAGCCATATCCAGAGGGATGCTCCACACTTGAGCAAGTGCAAGGAGAAGCACTGGCCCAGCATTGGCACAGTGTGGGTCGGGCCTATGCCGGAGTCATTCAGCCACGCCAGCTCCACGCACTCGCTCCAGCAGACCCCTGCCCTGTCACTGAGCAATAAGGATCATGTCTCCTCCCCACCCTGCATCATTTCCAGCAGTCAAATAAAAGGTCACCGTCAATCACAGAATCTGATGTCCCCTGGAGCCACAGGGTCATGGAGTAACTGGGGCTATTACTGTCACGGCTGCCACTGGGATTGGTGGCCACGACCTCCCAAGCCTGGGCAGACACAGGAGAAGAGGGAGCTGGGAGTGGATCAGCCTTCGCCGTGCAGCACAGCTGCTGCTGGAGAGGCAGGACCTGGACAGGAACGGCAGTCCATAGCCCAGGAGGGGAGGTGGGCAGCGCTGGCGGGGACAGAGCCACAGGCCACATCATTCAGACCACACTTATCCAGTGCAGAGACCCAGCAGGGAGCAGCAGTGGTTGGGGCAACAAGGAGCCAAGTGGGTGAAGACCAGGAATGGAGGGGCCCATGAGCAAGAAGAGGTAGCCCTGTCACCCCCCAGCTTCTCCCAGGAGGCTCGGGGAAGCCTCCAGGGACCCCACTGGGACCCCTTCAGAGTGACCATGGAACCCACACACCTCCTGGGGAGCAGGGCAGGTGGGACCCAGAGCCCAGGTGGGAAAGAAGCAGAGAACAGCCCACAGACAGCAGACCTGCACCTGAGGAGTGCACAGAAGTATGAAAGAAAATAGAAGTTACTGAGGTCTGGGGGCATAATATTGTGGCACTAACTTGAAAAATCTTTTCGCATCAAGACATGTTAAGTTTAAAAAAAGAAGTTTCCATCTGTCAAGAGTAAAAGTGAAGTCTAGTTGCAATACTGAAATTCCATTTTATTTAATTCTGGGTAGTCTACTTTCTTGTTTGTCTGCATTGATGATCTGCCTCCCCTTGGCCCCCAACTTCCTGGCATTAGCAGCTCAGCAAGCCCTGGGCAGCCCAGGTTGAGGTTTCAGCCTTCCTTCTGAAACATCTGCCATTGCCCCGCCCCTGCTTGACACGACCCCACCCCTACCTGACACTGCTCCATCCCTGCCTACCACTGCTGTACCCTTGCCTACCACTGCCCTGCCCCTGCCTGCCACTGCCCCGCCCCTGCCTGCCATTGTCCGCCCCTCCCTGCCTTTACCCCTGCTTCAGCTGTTGTAGCCCTGCTCTGACTGCCCTTTGGGAAAAAAACTAGTAAGACTCACATTTTGCTGCAAAAATGTGTAGGTTAACATATATGACTAACTGGTATATAACTTGTCCAACTCATCAGTGCCAGGAGACCAGACCAGCTCACAGCTGGGATTTTGATGTTAAAAATGAATATTTCTTTTTCCAGGGCTGGGAAGGTGGCTCAGTGGTAGAGTGCTTGCCTAGCATGCATGAGGCCCTGGGTTCAATTCCTCAGCACCACATAAATAGAAAAAGCCAGAAGTGTCACTGTGGCTCAAGTGGTAGAGTGCTAGCCTTGAGCAAAAGAAGCTCAGGGACTGTGCCCAAGCCCTGAATTCAAGCCCCAAGACCGGCCAAAAACTGAAAGAAATAAATAAGATTTTCCAGGCACCAGTGGCTCATGCAGGGGCTGAGAACAGGAGTATTGAGGTCCAAGGCCAGTCCAGGACAGAAAAGTCTGAAAACTCTCTGCCTCAACAAAGGTAATGTAAACAGTGACAGGTGCCTGTAATCCATCAACGATGACAGAAAGCCTAAGGTCTTCCGACTGAGCTCAGGCATGGGCCTGAGACCAAGACTATATCTCAGAAAACAGCCAGCAAGAAGCCAGGCTGGAAACGACGTGGAGATGTGCCAAGCACAGGCCCTGAGTTCAAACCTATGAGATAGAGGAGGAAGAGAGAGAGAGACAGAGACAGAGACAGAGACGGGGGGGGGGGGGGGGGGGGGGGGGGGGGCATATTACAGATTTCCATCTTCCTCGGAAACATAAGACACACCTTCCACTACACACAGCGCTCCTCCTAAGCAGGTCAACAGCCAGCCTCGCCAGACCCAGCAGCAGGCCCCGCTGCTCTCTGCCCCCTCACGGTGGAGCTGAGAGCCATCTGTACACGAGGCTGCACGCCCACACTCGCTGTGGTACTTCTTCCAGTTAGAACAAACACGTCTCTCCCCTTCTCTACACAAAACAAGAACACAAAAGATAACTGGAGAAACCCATACTGCTTTGTAAACATGAATCCGCCATTTCCTAGGCCAATTGGTGTGATGCAGACGTAGATTGGGAAGCCAAGCCCGCTGACTCCTCCCACATACCTGCCGCTCTGCCTCTGGCTCCTCCCACACACACCTGTTTCTCCACCTCTGGCTGCTCCCACATGCCTGCCACGCCCCTCAGCCGGTCCATCCTCATGAAAGCCCCCCACAGCCTAGGCAGGGTCCCGTGGTCCCCCGCTGATGGGCCTGCTCCCACTTTCCTCATGGGAACCACGCTCTCCTTGAACTTTTTTTATTCTTTTGTTTTTTTTTCTTCTCAGACCTGGAAGCAAGGAAGCAGTGTTTGTTTTCCCACCACACTGACCCAAACAGCCCCTCTTCACTCACACACACACACACACACACACACACACAATCACCTTAATTACCCCCTTGCTATTGAATCCCTGCAGTGAGAGACAACCCCCTCATTTGGGAGGAAAATTAACCGTACACAAACAACACCCCATTTCATCTTGAATTAAACCCTTCCACACTCCCTTGGCACAGAACACTCTGGTGTTTCTTTTGTGCTTGGAGTCCAGTCTGCCCTCTTTTCTGGGAGACATTTTGGCGAAGAAGCCAGAAGTGGAACTCCCCCACTCCCACCCCTAGGGCTGAGCCGGTCACTTCCCTTCATGGCTCCTTATCTGGCTCATTGAAGCTGCCATTGCTCCAGCCCACCTTAAGCCTTACCCCCAGCCCAGCCAGGCCCTTCCCACGCTGGCTGTCCCCTGCCTCAGCCTCTGAGGAGTGACAGCAGCCCAGGCCACCGTGGGCTGCTCCTCCCTGCCACCCGCCCGCACTTGGGAAGTCAACGAAAGATTGAAGGTGATGAATTGCACCTCTGGGAAGACACAGCATGGAGAAAGAGCTTCGTTTGCTGCAACTTGAGATTTATCACCGCGTGCCACAGATAATGACACCATCCATCTCCCCTGGGCTGAGCGCGGGGTCCCCCTCTGCAGGTTGGAGAAGGGCCGTGGGAAAAGCCCTGTGTTCCTTTGCGAGGTGATGCAGGGCCAGGCTGCTCAGGGATCTGCCTTGCTTACCAGCCAGGGCCATCCCAGGTTCTGCAGAGTGGACACCTCCGACTCCTCAGTCTAAAAGAGGGTCACCAACAGCCTGACCTATGACCTTGCAGGGACCTGGGATGGGACCTCAAGGACACCAGAATCTAGGACACAGCCAGAACTTTCTATTGTCCCAGGGCCTCAACTGCTGACACACACATTGGTCAGTCCCAACAGGAGTGCACAGCCACCTCACAGCCTGGGGAATGCAGGACTTAGTTCCGGGAGTCTCTGCACCCCAGAGAGCCTGTGAGAAGGAGGTCTACCCCTCCCACCATGCTCCTCACAGCAGGCTGGAATCAGTTCACTCACACACTACCCCAGGCCCACAACAGCCTCCAAACTCCACCTTCCTCAGTCCCATGATCCATTCAGTCTGAATGTACATAACCTTCCAACCTCTAGAACTGAGAGTAATAAATTACTATGGTTTATAAATTACCTAGTTTAAGGCTGGGCACTGGTGGTTCATGTCTGTCGTCCTAGCTACTCGGGAGGCTGAGATCTGAGGATCGTGGTTCAAAGCCAGCCCAGGTAAGAAAGCCCATGAGAGTCTTATCGCCAATGAACCACCAGTGCTGCTGTAGCTCAAAGTGGTAGAGCACTAGCATTGAGCAAAAAGAACTCAGGACCATGCACTTAGGCCCTGAGTTCAAAACCTACAATTGGCAATAAGTATGTAAATTACAAATAAATAATGAATATCTAGTCTAAGGCATTTTGATCTAGCAGCCCAAACAGGCTAAGACAGGACACAAGAGGTAACTGGAGGTCAGCCACACAGAGTGAGGGGAAGACAAGATGGGCAGCTTCTTAACTTCCATGCCTTTTGTTGGTTCTGCAAATGAGAGCTCAGTCTAAGCTTCTCTTTAACAGCAAGAGTGGGTGGAGGGGCTAAAAGCTAAAAAGAAGTTTGTTAAAAAAAAAAAAGTCAGCGGACATCTCCTAATTAAAATCTCCTTAGTGATAGGAGCAGGTTTCCAAGGTCCTTCCTGGTCCTTCCAAGATTGCCATCTTTGGTTTTAATTGCCGGGGCCATTTGTTGTGTATTGCAAAGCAAAGTAGCACTTCAAATCCTTGCTGTCACTGGCATTATTGACTCACATAGATAACGGGGACTTTTAAAGTAAATATTCTTAAAAGAAAAAATAACGGTTCTCAGTGGTAGAAGTAGATTCAGTAGATGTTAAAACTGAAGAAGGTAGCTTGGGGCACCTATGGTTTGGGAACCCCTGGGAATGAGCAAGTTGGGGTGCCCGCCTCCCCCCACTACCCCCCGCCCCGTCACTTGCCGGAACACAGACCCTCCTTGGTGCCTGGTTTCCAGGGGCAGTGCCTTCCCTGCTGACTGCATATTTCCTGTTGTGAAGGGCTTCCAGAATGGCCCAGACATGGCTGCTCCACTCCTGGTCCCCAGCCTCCCCTGTGCCCAAACAATCACACCAACCACCCACGAAATCCCTGTGTGGACAGGGCTAGGAACCTGCCAGTGGCAGCCTGAGGATCTCTGTGGATACGAAGAGGTTAGGTGCCCCATCTTTCTGGATTGTTGTCCCCAATCAAGTTGCCCAGGACCTTGCTGGTGACACCTTTGCATCTTCTGGAACGGGGTTGGAGGTCCTTCCCTCCCCTTCCCTGTGCAGCCCCCACCACAGGCCAGTTCCCCGCACAGGGATGGCCAGGGATGGCTATGGTGCGAGATGACCTTCAGATGGCGGGGTCACACTCCTAGCTTGGTTCTTCACCCTCAGCACAGCCTGGAGTGTGTTCAAGAGGTGACAACACTCCCATATTCTCGGAACCACTGACTCCTGGGGGCTGTGAGGTCTTAGACGGACATGGGTGTCCGCGGAGGATCTTCTGTGGCACTTTACCCCTGGCTCATCATTTGGAAATAATTAGAAAACTGTGTCCTTTCTTCTTCCAAAAGAGATCTGAAGATTGTATTTCAAACTCATCCCAGGCAGGAAAGGCCGTGAGACTTTTCCAGACCCTGAGTTTAAGCTCTATGACTGACCAAAAAAATAGGGCATGTCCTATGGGGGCGCCATCACTGGATGATCCCAGTGCCTTCCCCCACATGCCCTCAACTCTCCCACAGCCCACTTTCCCACAGCAACAACAGGGAGCCTGTGCAAATCTGCTCCTGGGTGACACTGTCCAAAGAGAAACATGCTTCCTGCCTGACCTATGTCACTGTCACCCCTCCATACATCACCTGCATCACAACCATTCTTTTTAATACTTAAAGGAAAGCCTACTTAAACATGATCCCTCTCTGCTAGCTCCACAGGTATCTTCAAGACCCTGAGTTTAACCCCTGACCTCCTGCTCGGCCTATCCTCCCCCTGCCCACCCTGCCCACCCTACTCTGTACCCCCTCTGTCTCCCTCTCAGGGTCCTGCCCTCGCTGAAATATGGCGCTCCCACTTTCCAACTTTCCCATGGTAGTGGTTCAGGTGTGGCCTGGCAGCCTGGGCTACCTGAGCCCCTGTCTCACAGTGCATTAGAGGGAGACCTGCCCTCCTTCAAAATGAAACCCTGACCCCAGCACTCCTCCATCTTGCACAGGCCCGAGCCCTTGGTCCCTGTACAGCCTAAGCCCTGAGAGGGGTGCCAGCCCCTGTGCCCCGCATATCCCTGTCCACCCTCTCACGCTCTGCTTTGGCCCCTGAAGGGTGGTCTGACAAGGTGACCCCATCCAGGCGCCAGGCCCTTGGGCCTCGCTGGGAGCCTGGCCATGCATCCCCATGCCCACCTAAGGGCCAGCTGCAAGTCTGCAGCAAGTACCATGTGGCATCACCCACTGTCCCCCACCCCTGTCAGGTGGTACCCATCTAAGGTTTCAAAGCAACCCTTTCTCAAGAATGCCACCTTAGCCGAGGGTGGCTCACGCCTCCAATCCCAGCGACTCAGGAGGCTGAAATCTGAGTGGCTCACTGTTCAAAGCCAGCCTGGGAAGAAAAGTCCATGAAATTCTTTTCTCCAATTTACCACAAAAAGCCACAGTAGAGCTCTGGCCTAAGTAGTATAACACTAGCCTTAAGCACAGAAAGCTCAGAGATAGTATGCAGACCCTGAGTTCAAGCCCTAGAACCAGCACGGGAAAAACGAAAGGAAGGAAGGAAGGAAGGAAGAAAGAAAGAAAGAAAGAAAGAAAGAAAGAAAGAAAGAAAGAAAGAAAGAAAGAGAGAGAGAGAAAGAGAGAGAGAGAAGGAAAGAAGGAAGGAAGGAAGGAAGGAAGGAAGGAAGGAAGGAAGGAAGGAAGGAAGGAAGCATGCCACCTCCTCCTGCTCCTGCAGGCCTCAGGTGTCAGGGGCCTGTCCCCAGGGACAGTGGGTCCGCCCCCCCTCCCGCCATCTCTTCCATCTCTCCTTTCTCATGATGCCACCTGTTTCCTGTCACATGTCCCCTGATTGCTGCACAGCCCTGCCTTGTCCATGGCTTCTTCTCCAATTACCCACAGCAACCACACTCCAGAAGTATGGCCTGGAATGTTCCAGAAATAAAACATTCATAAATATAAATTAGGCACCATTGTGAGCAGTGCAATGAACTCTCCCTCCGTCCCAGGATATGCCTCCTCTTCTTGTCCAGTGTATCCACATGGGGGCCATTACCCAGAAACCCAGGAAACAGGTAACCCAGGAGCCCAAGAGCTCAGGAATCCCAGAAACCCAGGAATCCAGGAACTCAGGAGCCTAGGAACTCAGGAATCCAGGTAACCCAGGAACCCAGGAACTGAGAAACCTAGGAAACAGGTAAGCCAGGAACTCAGGAGCCCAGTAACCCAGTAACCCAGCCACCCTCTTGGTTATCAGACAAGCTGGTGCTGAATTCTAGTACTTGTTTTCTCTCTTCACAGCAGTTACTAGCAAACTTAAGATACCATCAGTTATAAGATGCACCGTTCTTTTTATACACTAGCGATTCACACCTGTAATTCAAGCTACTCAGGAGGCTGAGATCTGATGATTGAGGTCCAAAACCAGCCTGGTCAAATAAACCTGAGAGACTCTTAACCTCTAATCAACAACCAAAAATGTGGAGGTGTGGCTCAAATAGGAGAGCACCAACTTTGAACAGAAAAAGCCAAGCAAAAATGCATGACCCTGGGTTCAAGTACCAGTAAGCCTGATTGAAGCTTCCTGGCACTTGATGCTCAAGCGTCCTTGAACTCTGCTCCCCCTAACCCAACCAGCTCACTTTCCTGCAGACCTGACATGTGGGGTCAAAAGTGCAGAAAAAGCTGTGGAATGGTCACACCAGAGAACACGTTGGGTATAAGGAGGCTACCTCCACATGAGTTAATTGTGAAGAGCTCTTGACCCCAATTCTTTCAGCTTGGTGTGAAAAGATTTCAAACCCTTCCTTCCATTCTATTCTCCAGCCTGCTGGGCAGGCATGAGCAGTTATCTCCTGCTGCACTTTGTCGCATGCTCATTCTTAGGAGATAATGTCCCTTCCTTCAGGGACAGTCTTGGTAAATTAAGTGACTGTGTCTCCATTTCCTAGTGGCACATGGTCCCCAGTCCTGTCTTGCACCCCATACCCCAAATCAAATGCCAGGCAGTGGCTTCTGATAAGAGCTAATGACCAACATCTGCTTTCAATTGACAAATGCAATCCTGGGCCAAACAAGGTTTTTAACGGAGGAGGATGAGGAGATGGGGTGGAGGGAAGCTCCCAGCACAATATGAGGCAGGGATGAGGCAGGGGTGTGGAGGAGCAGGTGTTCTGAGCAGAGGTTTGGAGTGCCTGGCCAAGATAAGAAACCTAAAGCTGACAACAAAATGAAGACAGCCTGAGCCAGTGGCACACGAGGGCTTTGTCGAGGATGCAAGGAGTGGGAAATCATTAAACCCGGTTACCAGGGCTGCCCAGAGATTGACAGAGCCAGTCGTCCAATGCGAGGCCCAGCACCGCAAAAGAATCTAAATTAATTCTTCTCTTGGCTGTTCCTGGGGGAAGAAGAGGATGCGTTTGCCAAAATAGAAGATAACCAAAATTGTAACAGAGGTAGTGTGTGTGTGTGTGTGTGTGTGTGTGTGCACACGTGCACTTGTACATGCATGCTCATACATATGGATGTGTGCATGTGTGTAGCTGCTGGAGAGAAAGAATGACGTGCACGCATGCCAGTTCTGGGGCTTGATGGGTAGGTGCTATCTGTTAACTTTCTTGCTGAAGGCTGGTGAGCCATACCTCCACTTCTGACTTTCGTTGGCTAATTGGCAATAAGTCTCACATACTTTCCTGCCCAGGCTGGCTTTGAACCTTGATCCTCAGATCTCAGCACCGTCTGATTACAGGTATGAGCCATCACTGCCTTGGCTGACTCATTTATGATACTGGCCTGAGAGCTACACACAGACACACAGACCACACACACACACACACACACACACACACAAACTATCCTTGAAGCTGTAGCTGCCACCAGCCTGTAGGTCCCAAGCAGGCCCTGAGCCCCAGAGCACCAACCTGGGGCCCACATTACTGTCCTTTGTCTTGATCCTGCCCTGTCTCCCTTCCCTGAAGTGTGGGTAATGCTTTCCCACACCCCAGTGGGTCCTGGTGACGGCTCAGGATGTCTCAAATCCTGAAGTGGGGGCACACCAGCGTGCTCTCCCTGGTCCTCCCCCCCCCACACACACAGTCCCCTATCATGCCACACCTCTTCTACCCCTTCCTCCATGAAAGTACCTTGACTTAGTGCTCAGGCACCTGGGGCACCTTCCCCTCACCCAGGCCGTCGTCCTTGTGACCACAGAGGGGACAGGCTGAGCTCATGACACCTCTCCATGCAGTCACCTTCCGTCCCCGCAAGAGACACTGCTGCCCGCGGGCATGTGCCCAGGACACACAGCTTTCCTCTCAGAACAAAGCTGCTTGACCACAAACGGCAGATGGGCTTGGAGAGTGGGTTTGGGGATCCGCCAGCTCCTGCCAGGGAGGGCTCCCACCAGCCAGGGATGTGTGTCACCAGGGCACATAGAGCAGCTGTGACAGCGGCCATGCACCCCCGGAAGTGGAAACAAGGACTCTCTGGCCCTGAAACATATGAGCCCCACCCCCAGGAGTAAAGAACTGTCCAGGGGGTAAGTGGCCAGGACAGCCAGGGAGTGATGAACACTGGGAAGCGGTCAGCTGAGGTTGGGAGTGTAAGCCTTGGGGGGTGGGGTCTGCCCTTCCAGCCATCCCCCCCAGGCTGTGGGCACCCAAAGGCCAGCACAAGAAGTGCCTCACCTAGCTATGATTCGAGCAAAACATCCTGCTTTTCTGTTCAAGAAAACTCTCATCCAGCAAAGCTCCAGGAGTTCAGCCAATCCTCAGAGTGTCAGCCCTGCCTAGACCGCACCCTCACCTCCGTGCTTGGCCTCACGCATGTTTGTCCTATCTGAGGACCTGGTCTCCAGCGAGACCAATGCCCCTTCCTTCCCCCAGCCCACTGCTAGGAACAACAGATGGATGGTTAAGGGACTAGACAAATGGTTACCAGCATCTGCTCTGAGCCTAAGGCAGCCATGAGAGGCTGCCCAGGATGCTGATAAGCCGTCTTCGTTTTCCTTGGCTACTAAGGAACAGCACCCAGAGAGCACAATTACACCTGCTCATCCCCCAGACTCGCCCTCCATTCGTGACCATGCCCTTCAGGTGTCAGGCATTACTATAAATTACCCTACACAATTTTTTGCAATTAAAGGAGCAAATGTGTACTGTACTGCAAAGATTAGCTGTGCTTTGCTGAAGTAAATCACATCCGTGCCTGCACACTGGCCTGTGAGGCCCCTAGGAAATACAATTAATTTTCTCCTGACTTAATAATGCAGCTTTTGTCATCATCAGAGTCGAGCTCAAGACACACAGTTTCTCCTCGCACAGTGGCAGCCCACCAACAAGAGAGCTTGGTTTAAATGAAACAAATGTATCAGGCAGAATTCACCACAGAAGTGTGGTGTATGTTCTATGGGTCATGTTTCAGCCTGATATCAAACCTGGGGACAAAGCCAGCTGCAGTGGCTCATGCCTGTAACCCCAGTGACTCAGGAGGCTGAGATCTGAGGATCGTGCCTTAAAGCCAGACCAAGCAGGAAAACTCTAGGACTCTTATCTCCAAATAGCCTGCAAAAAGCCAGAAATGGAGCCGTGGCTCAAGTAGTAGAGCACCAGCCTTGAGCAAAAAAAATCTAAGAGTGCTCAGACATTGAGTTCAAGCCCCAGTACCAGTGTGCACACAGACACACTCACACATACAAACAAGCCCAAGGTCAAATGTTCCCACACAGTGCTGGATTTGAAGCAGCCCAGGAAGGAAAATCCATGAGATTCTTTTTTTTCCCCTGTCCTGGGTCTTGATCGGGGCCTGGGCACTGTCCCTGAACTTCTTTTGCTCAAGGCTAGCACTCTACCACTTGGGCCACAGCTCTTCTTCCAGCTTTTTCTGTTTATGTGGTACTGAGGAATCAAACTCAGGGCTTCATATATGTGAGGCAAACACTCTACCACTAAGCTGACTTCCCAGCCCTCCATGAGACTCTTATCTCCCATGAACCACCAAAAAGCTGGAAGTGGAACTATGGCTCAAGTGGCAGAACATTGAGCATAATAGCTCAGAGACAGCACCTAGATTCTGAGTTCAAGCCTGAGGACCAGCACTGCCCCCCCCTCAAGAAAAAAAGCCAGTAGGACAGTTTAATGTGTGAATAAGCTAATTGTACACGCATAGGGAAAACAAGGTAACTAAAATCATGAAGACAACATGGAAATAAAACAGTATGCTTGAAAAAGTCACTTCCTTTTTTTTTTTGGTGGTACTAGGATTTGAACTCAGGGCCTGGTGCTTGCTCAGCTTGCACTCTACCACCTGAGCCATGCCAGCTGGCATACCAACCAGGCAACTCAGAAGTAACATCTGAGTTGAGGCCTGAAGCAGGACATTGGATTCCAGCAAGAGCACCTTCACCATGTGATTTCCCTGTCAGCTCAGAGAGATGGGCAACCAACCCCAGGACACACAGCACTGCCTCAGTCTGGCTTTGGACAGTTTTGATGACTCCTGTCTGACCTCCACCTGGGGTGCACTGGGCCTGGGGGTCCTGGGCTGTGATCCCTCAGCTCCCAAACCTTGGACAGCCACCTTTGAAAGCTGCCCTGAGTACACACACACACACACACACACACACACACTCCCTCTTCTCTCCCATGTCCTAATTTTCTAAGAGCAGGGCGGAAAGCCACTGTCTAACAGGGCTAGGATTCATCCAGGATGAATTCTGGAAGCTCATTTCAGTGGATAATTAAATCACAGTTTAATTACAAGCAAGATGTCAGTGTCTCCCTGGGAGCCAGTCCAGTGCTGCAGAGGGTGGAGGGAGCAGATGGGGGATGGCGGAGGCTGTGTGTCCCGCGGTCCAGGCCACCATGCTAGGGCCAGGGGTCCCCTCCAGTGCTCGCATGCAGCTGGGCACACCCTGCCCATGGCCAGGCCAGCCCTGCAGCTCAGCTCTGCAGGGACAGCCAAGCAGGGACACCGCTGCTCCCGGGAGACCCCGTAACAAGGGACAAGGCATGGTCACACCAGACAGCGGTGGACCATGGGCCTCCAGCCTCCAGCCTCCAACCTGGGGTCAGCTGCAGAGGACCCACATCGTGGCACTGGGGGGGTTCCGGCTGGGGTGTGGGGGACCCACAGAACTTCCACATAGCATGCACGGGGGCCAGGCCCCACCATGCCCTCCTGCCTTCCACGTGGAAACAGGTCTGCCACATGGGCCTCTCTGGGTGGACATGGGACCCGTGTCCATACCAGGGGCTGGTACCTCTGTCTCCGGCCATCTTCGATGGGCAGAGCCTCATCTGTCCTGTCCTCCATCTCCATGGTAGGGGATGGGCAGCCTGGGGCAGTGAGTGAAGGCCATGGTATCCCCAGGTGCCTGGGGAGCATAGGTGGCAGACAGCAGGTGGGGAGACTCTGCTGATGAGTGGGTTCAGATAACCCCGGGGAGGGGGAGGGATGTAGACAGCACCTGGGAGAGACAGGACAGCAGGATGGCAGAACACAATAGGCCACACCCACCCTAGTGACAGCCCTGCCCTTGAGCAAAAGCCCAGCCCCTCTGAGCCACAGCCCATGCCCACTGACAGCCAGAGCTTTCACAGGTCAGTTCTGCAGACAGATACATTTATGGCTGATGTGTTGTTGTTGTTGTTAGTGTTCTTATATTTCAAGCCCATTGTACAGATGAGGCGAGTGAGTCCTCCCGAGGATGCAGTCTGAGTCCTTGTTTCCTACTATCTGTGGCCTAGAGCTGATGTCCCCTACTCAGTCCCCATGCTGCTGTCCTCAGGCCTGGCGCCAGTGGCTCACACCTGTCATCCCAGCTACTCAGGGGACTGAGATCTCAGGATCGTGGTTCAAAGCCAGCTGGAACAGGAAAGTCCGAGAGACTCTTTTTTTGGCCATCATGGGGCTTGAACTCTGGGAGTGGGTGCTGTCCCTCAGCTCTTCAGCTCAAGACGAGTGCTCTACCACTTGAGCCCCAGTGACACTTCTGGTTTTTTGGTGGTTCATTGGAGATGAGTCTCACAGACTTTCCTGACCAGGCTGGCTTTGAACCACAATCCTCAGATCTCAACCTCCTGAGTATCTGGGATGAAGGCATGAGCCACCTGCACCCAGCAAGTCTGTGAGACTTATCGCCAATGAACCCCAAAAAGCCAGAAGTAGAACTGTGGCTCAAATAGCAGAGTACCAGTCATGAACAGAAAAACAAAGGGACAGTGCTCAGGCCCTGAGTTCAAGCCCTAGGACCAGCACACACAGAGAAATCAGAAAGCTCCTGTCTCTCAGATGCACAATGCTCTCATGCACACCCATGTCACCTCAGATTGGTAGTTAGTGACACAAGCCCCCGTTGCCAGCCTGAGATACCTCAGCTCGGAGCTCAGCACCACTTCCTGCACAGTGCTACACAGTAAATGCGCTACGAGCCATGCACACCGTGTTGCCACAGCTCTGTCTGCCTTGAGCCACAGCAGCCACCAGTGCTGCCCAGATGTGGGCCAGGCTGTGTGCCACACAGAGCCCACAGAGATGGGGCCCATGCGGGGATGATGGCCCACCACCCACTGCCCAGGTATCTTCTCTGACTGTTGCTTCTTCGTGAATGATGACAACACGTGTGTCTATGCACACACGTGTGCGCTGTGGCCATGGCTGCTCTAGTTACTGAATGAGCAGGCATGGAACATGATGGCTTCCCACGGGCTACCCCGGCCCCTGCAGACATCTCCAGAAAGAAAGGGAAAGGGGGAGGGAGACGTTTAACCACGTCCCGCCCAGAGATGAAACCCAGCCATAATTCACCAGTAACATCGCACACCTACACACAAAGCCATTCCCGTGGAGTGGAGGATAGACAAGACATAAAAGGGACTGGGAAAGTGACTTAGTGGTAGAGTGCTCACCTAGCTGCATGAAGCCCTGGGTTCAATTCCTCAGTACCACATACACAGAAGAAGCCAGAAGTGATCCAGGCACCCATGGCTCACGCCTGTAATCCTAGCTACTCAGGAGGTTGAGATCTGAGGATCACAGTTCAAAGCCAGCCCAGGCAGGAAAGTCTGTAAGACTCTTATCACCACTAGAAAACCAGAAGTGGTACTGTGGCTCAAGTTGTAGAGCACTTGCCTTGAGCAAAAGAAACTCAGGGACAGTGCTCAGGCCTTCAGTTCAAGCCCCAGGACTGGCCAAAACAAGAACAAAAACAAAAGAAATAAAAGGACAATAATATTCCATGAGAGGAAACTAATTTAATATGCAAATGAGAAGCCCCGGGCCGTGGCCTCATCCAATCCTGGTCAGCAGGTCATAAGTTAGGCATGGAGGGCAGGAGGGGAGGGCAGGGGGGGAGGATGGCCCAGAGCAGGCAGACATGGGGTGCATGGGACACTGCTGCACGAGGCCACCTCCCATCTGACCACCAGGTGGCTCCCCAGGCGGGGAGTTTTTTTTATTTTTTTGGTCGAGGGAAGGCCTCTGCCCTATATAGATAGTTCTTTTTGTGAGCAGCATTCCCTGCTGCCTCCTGGAAAGGCTACAGGGGTCCTGGGCCACAGGGGAGCCTAAACGCAGAGAGCCCAAGTGACCAGGGCTGTCCACTCACCCCAAAAGAAATCTATACAGCAAACACATGGTGAAAGAAGAGGAAGGCATTTCTTTACGGTGTGGCCAGTCCCAGGAGGCAGACCCCAGAGCTGCCCTCCGGGCGCTGATACGATCCTTGGGTCTCAGTGCAGACGGAGGAAGAGCAGGGGTGAGATGCATGCCTGGCGGAGAGGTCTTGGTCAAAGTGGGGTCTCACAGCTCGTCACCAGCTCCCCAGAGGTTGCAGACAGGTCAGGAAGGTGAGATGGAGCTCATTCAGCTTGGAGGCGCTGCTAGGGGGGGTGGGGAGAGCAGGCCCGGTCATGGCTGGCAGGTGACACCCACTTACTGCCATGTCCCTGCAGTTCTTAGAAAGCGCTTAGCCATTCCACACCCTACCCAGGCCCTTGGACCCTGGGGAGTAGGGAAAGACACCCCTTAAATGCACTGTGAGGTTTGCACGGTCTGCACGCTGAGCAGGAACCAAAGCTGATCTGCCTAGCACAGATCTGAAACAGGAGCAGAGGCACCAGGCTTTGTCTTGACCCTGTCGCCAGGGCCACTGCAGACCTCTAAGTAATGCCACTCATGTCACGGGTTAACAAGAGGGGCTGCACACATTTCCCACGGGTGCCGGCCCCAGGGCAGCTGCTAGCCCTCATAGTGATTCCTTTTCTCTGCTGGCCACTGGAGTAGAAGAGTTATGAGTGTGATTTTGGCCATGGAGTGAGGAAGAACTGCTCCTGGGGGGGGTCTCCCCATTCCCACAGAGGTGGTGGGATGGGCAGCAGTCTTCTCTCCTTCCTCTGGGCATGACCATCATCTGCCCAGAGCACTCCAGTGCTCCTGGACACCTCAAACCCGCTGCCAGCCGAAGGGCCAGGGGGCAGTGGCTTGTCCAGCGCCAGACCCAGGGAGGGGGCAGAGCGGGCACTCACTGCTGGTCCCATGCTGAGCCCTAGAAAAGCTTTCCTCTGATCCATGGGGCACTGGTGGGTCTGCCATCTGGCCCACTTCATCGGAACTGTCTAGACCTCTGGTTATCGGGGTGCTTCTTCCAGATGGAGCTGTATCTCCAGACACTCCTTACTAAAACACACGTAACCTATCCTAAATGAACTTATACATATTCACAAGCACAGGCATGGGAGGCCTGGAGGACATGAGGCTCTCTGGCTAATCTAGCCATCAACCCTGGGACAACCACCTAGCTGGCCCAGGGGTGGGGTGGAAGCCCAGCACCCACCACGCACTTAACAACCCTACATCTCCAACACAGGGAGGGAAAAACCTTAGTCAACACCACATGAGGACAGAGGAAGCTGTGCACACACCACCAGCCAATGGAGAAATTTGAGGAGGAATCTGAACCCAGGATCATGGAGCTCATCACCCTAAGAAATGAGCCAGGTGGTGGCTCACACCTGTCATCATAGCTACTCGGGAGACTGAGATCTGAGGATTGTGGTTCAAACCAGCCTGGGCAGGAAAGTCTGTGAGACTCTTGCCTCCAATAAATCACCAAAAAAGCAAGAAGTGGAGCCATGGCTCAAGCAGTAGAATACTAGCCTTGAGCAAAAGAGCACAGGGACAGCATCTAGGCCCTGAGTCCAAGCCCCATGATCAGCACTAAACAAAACTAAAAGGAAATGCCATCATGTTTCCAGCTGAGGGCTAGGACAGGTCTGTGGGTACCAATGTCCAAGGGCTGTGGGCTCTGTGGGTGCCAGGTCCACCGTGAGGGTGGCACTGGGGAGGGCAGGCAGCAGACGGGACACAAGTGTCAGCCTGAGTTCCTGTGCCCCTGTGTGGGGCTCTCCCCTTGGCTCACGTTGACCTCTGCCCAATTTCTCCTCCTCCACCCTGCCTCTCTAGAGTGAACCCCACTGATTCTGCCTCATTTGCTCCCAAAGGGGAATGAGGTGTTTGGGACAACAGCCTCACTGGAGTCTGCTCAGGGTCACAGGACACTCAGGGAGACTCAAACTCAGCCCACAGCCCTGTCCTGGATGCCCTGCTTTGGCCCTTCTGTGCCTCTGCCCCCCACCCCTCCGTGCCCAGGACTGCGGCAGCTTTGGGTTGGGCTCCGACTCACCCACCTCTGGAGCAGCCAGCTTCCTTCCATGAGCTCCTAGGGGGACAGCCTGGCCCACAGCGCCACCCAGCGGCCACAGTTCCATGGTTCGGGGAGAGAGCACACAGACAATGTGGGTTCCTGGTCTCGATTCGCAGAACCTCTCGGTATAGTTTAACTGGGATCTCCACATCCTTCTAGATCCAGCTGGGAATGTAAAGGAGAGAAGGGAAGGCAAGATCATGCTCCTACGCTATTATGATTTATGCTTATAATCCTGGTGACTCAGGACACTCAGATCTGGAGGATCTGGCAGGAAAGTCAAGACTCTACCTCCCAAATAATCATCACAAGGCTTGGCTGGGGACACAGCTCAAGTAGTAGAATGCTACTTGAATCCAGGGTCAAACCTCGATACCAGTGAAAGAAAGAAAGATGGAAAATGTCAAGAGAAACTAGCATTTATGATGAGCTTAACCCATCCGAGCAGTCCCAGCCCCACTTCTAGAAAAAGCTAACTCCAAGTAGGCATCAGGTTCGACAGGCACTCCACTGTCCCCAGTGCCCTCTGCTGGACAGGACAGGTATCCCATGCACACCACAGGCCTACTGCAAACCTCCTGGAACTCCTCTGGCCCAGGGCCCCCTGGTGCCCCAGATTACAGCCAGGTCTGGTCCATCTCCATTGTTTACAGAAGAATCAAGAGACAGTTACATCCTGAGAGGGGTTGCTTGGCAAGCAGACAGCTGCTGGTCTGGGGACAGGCGCAGTGACTAAGTTTCAAGGTCTCAGCCAAGCCTTCCTGCCAGTCCAGTGTGGTGGGTGCTCAGACAAGTGCCAGATGTAGATGCTGAGCGCTGTTAAGAGCTCCTAGGGATACACTTTCTGTCCAGGCTCTTAAGAAAGGTTAGCTGGGAAGGCCTGTTGGCTCAGGGGACTCCAGGATGGCTGTGACCAACAGGCACTCATGAGATCCCCTCCCAAAAAAATGCTCACAGACTTTGGGGTCTTCCCAAGTGCAGAAAGTATGGGAGGGGGAGTAAACAGGGAAGAGATAAACTAGGGAAACCAGGGAGAAAAGAAGAGAGGGAGAGACTGAGGAAAAGAGGGAGAGAGGGAGGGAGGGACGGGAGAGACTCAGTCAGGGAGGGATAGGGGAACTAGACAGGGAGACTCCCTATGTTGATCCCAGGATTCCAGGCAGCACCACAGGACCGCAGGCCCAGGCAGGTGAAGAACTGGCAGCCAGCCTGGGATCCACTGGGGCTCACTCAAGGCATGGACACAGGATTTCCTGATTGGCCCACTGCAGCCAGTTCTGATTGGCTGTTCATAGTCAGCCAATCACCGATTGGCCAGCAACTGAGACCACTCCCCAGAGTATTTTAAACTCCACTTAACTGCATGTGCAATGGGGTTTGTGGGTTGGGTGTGGCAACTTGAGGGCTACCCTGACCCCTTGACAAGTATAGGATTCCAGGAGGAGGCAGAAACTTCTGGTAAAACAGCTGTTACTGTTTTTTCACCTGTGGTTGAACAGAGCTCAGTTAAATGCAATATAAAATCTGCCATTTGGGAGCTGGTGCTCATGCCTGTAATCCTAGCTACTCAGGTGGCTGAGAGCTGAGGATCACAGTTCAAAGCCAGCCTGGGCAGGAAAGTCTGTGAGATGCTTATCTCCAATATACCACTAGAAAACCAGAAATGGTGCTGTGGATCAAGCGGTATAGCATTTGCCTTGAGCTGAAGAGCTGAGGGACAGTGCCCAAGCCCAGAGTTCAAGCCCCACAACCGACAAAAAAAAACAAAATCTGTTATTTGGGGTTGGGAAGGTGGCTTAGTGGTAGAGTGCTTGCCTAGCATGCATGAAGCCCTGGGATCAATTCTGCACTACCACACAAACCGAGAAGGCCAGAAGTGGTGCTGTGGCTCAAGTGGTAGGGTGTTAGCCTTGAGAAGAAAAAAAAAAGCTCAGGGACAGTGCCCAGGCCCTGAGTTCAAGCCCCAGAACTAAAAAAAAATCTGTTATGTTTTACAGACCCACCTTGTAATCTATGGGAGTCTGTGCCCCAGCCCTTGAAAGAGCTCTGAGGCACAGAGCAGCAACCTAGCTAGCACAGGGCTGGCGGGCTTGGGGACACAGACAGTTAAGATCTGCATGGCCCTTTGCCTATGCCAGCTCAGGCTGGATACTACTGCCCATAGAACCCAGCACCAGATGAAACTGACTTCAATAGCAATAGAAATCTATGGTGAATTTAAGGAGAACCTGTGCACAGGGCACATGCCCCAAGCATGTGCGCCATCCCTCAGGGGGACAGGGGCCATTTCTCTCATCAGGGATGAGGGGCTCCCAAGTTTTGTCTATGACAAGGCACAGTTGCACACATGGCGAGAGGTGTGTCCTCTGGGGATCCAGAGGACCAAGGTGTCTCAGCAGGAGCAGCTTGGGGTGGGGGGGAATGGAGCCTCTCTCTCTCCTGCTGGGACATTCCTGTAATGAAAGGAAGTTGGAAGGCTGAACAGCTGGGGGGCATCCCCTGTTGGCTCAGAAGCTGACAACATGACTTCCCTGGACACCCCTGTGCCCTCTTCAGGGAAGGTAACACCCCAAAAGTAAGATGGCCTTGTGCCAGGCACTGCCCAGGGGCTGGCCCAAACACATCTCCACCCATCACCCCAAAACCAAACATGCTGGACCACGAAGAGAGGGCGCAGGGCTTACGGGACTTGGGGGCCTGGAAGCCATACCGCGTGACTCTGCTATTGAAAAAGGAAAGGCATACTGACATCTCCACATTTTTTCATTTTCTTTTGTTTTGTTTTTAGTAGAACTGGGAGAAGCTGTCAGACAATAGGCTTTTTCTTTCAAATGTAAAATGTCAAAGACAGAATCATACAACCTTAGGGAAAAAAAGCCTTTGACAACATCGATAGGTAACAACAAAAAAAACCTCGGTATAAATATTGGGATGTCACACCATATAAATAAAGTAGGAGCCAATCCTATGCCTGGGGCTGATGGCTCCAGTTCTATCAGCTGTGGGGACACTGAAGGCTGGTGGGCTCTTGTGTCCTCTGGGTACCAGGCCCCTGTCCCCAGTCCCAAACTTTCCTGGCAGAGGCCTGGCTCCTCATGTGTGCCTGGTGGGCTGGTACAGGGCCAGGGGCACGGCTGGAGGCCAGAGCTCATCCCTCAGATTGAAGGCCGAAGGACCAGTGTTCCAAAGTGCAGGCTGAGTTCCTGGAGGGAGCTGGGCCTGTGAGCCTCCACGCCCAGGGCCTGGCACCAGTGAGCTGTAAGCTCAGCCTCCCTGGGCTCCTGGAACAAGTGTGGAGGAAGTGCTGCATGGGATCCTTCAATGGGCATGGCTCCCGCTGTCCTTGAAGGTGCATGGAGGAGGCTGGGCGGGAGCCTAGGCCATCTCCGCCCCAGGCTTTGCGGCCGCTGGCCCCGCCCTTGTGGCAGCTGCAGAGGCTGTGGCTGAGCAAGTGGAACATCCACTGGAGGCTGGCAGAGGTGGTAGAGGCTGGTGGGGGACAGAGGAGGCTGGGAGAGGTTCGGCTCCGTTGGCATTTCCACCTTCGTGCAACAGGTGACTACTGCTCACAACACAACACTCAACGGGGCAAAAGATGTGGTGTGCTAGACAGGTGCTGCCCATTCCTGTCCTGTGTAGTGGGCACCCAGCAAATGGCGCACTCAGGTCTGACCACACCCGGGCCTCCACCCATTCCTCCTCCGTGGATCTTGGGGACCTCTGCTGGCAGCCTTCATGGCACCCCCTGGAAGGGAAGGGGCCATGGTGGGAGGGCCCAGGGTCTCTGCATTTCAAGGGGGAGGGGCTAGGCCCGTGGGGAGGGACGATCTGCGGGCACAAGGACCAGATATGGGTCACTGGGCAGATGTGCCACCATGGGGGCGGCTGGGCATCCAGGCCTAGACCACTGGGTTCCGGATTCAGGCTGCGCAGACATCTACTAGCTGTCTGACCTTGACAAGACCAAACTCCTCGGGGGCTCAGTGCCCCATGGTGGACAGCAGCAGGGCATAGCTCCCAGGGTGCATGCGTGCTGGGCCCAACGGCTTTGTGTGGGGAGAGCCTAGCATGGTGCCTGGCACAGGCAAATGGGCCCAGGGCATGACCAGCCTTGTGAGACCCAGGCACGGGTCCTGCCCTTGACAAAGCATTGGACAAGCTGCCCACAGGGTGCACAGACTCTGCTGTTTCTACTTCTGGGGAGTCAAAACACATCCAAATGAATGACTCAGAACTCATGGCCAGGCCTCAAGCCTGTGGGAGGAGTGAAGTCAGGTAGGGTGAGAAGCAGGTGAATGGAGGAGATGAGTCACCCATGGGGGCAGGGGTACAGTGATCAGCAGGACAGTCCACCCAGCCAGACCCATGCTCTCCACTCCCCATAAATGAGGGGCAGCCCTCAGAGTGGCTGCATCTGATGGGTGAGACCCGGCTGGTCTTCCTTCAGGGAGGCGTGCAGGGGACAGACGGCCACTCATCACAGTGACCCCCAGGGCATAAGGTCTTTGATGCAGAGGGTTTTGGCCAGAATCTTCACTCTGTGGCCCTGGAAAGGGAGAAACATCAGGCTGGGCCAGCTCAGAGCTGCTGCCACCCCCTCCAGACATGACCCAGGGCTGGGGCCAGGCTGGAGTGTCACCTGCTTGCACATGATGTCCGTGGCCTGCATGATGCACTTGGGCAGCAGCCCATGGCTCCATGCTAGGATGGCCACCTGCTCTGCTGAGACACTCAGCGTTCTCCTGTACCAGGTGGAGGCCGGTGAGATGCAGGGCCTTACAGGCCACGGTGCCCCAAGGTCCTTGCTCTTGAGAGGCCTCCCCACCTCATCCCTGTCCATCCTGGCTCCCTAAGGTCTCAGTGGGTCCCCCTCTGCCCACATAAGGGAAACAGGAGGCACGGTCTCCATGGGGCTCCCTGGGGGACAGGGAAGAGGATTTGGGAGCATGGGTGACAGGTGGATCCTTGGAGGCCTACAGGTGAGCACAGAGCAGGGTGGACGAGCACCCCGCTGGCCTCAGAGCTCCGGTGCCCACCAGCGCAGGGGAGAGTGGACGGCCACTCTGAGTCTCTCCCTGACCTGCCCCGACACACGTCCACACTGCCCAGGTTCAGGGAGCAGCAGTGCCACACGATGCCTCCTGGCCTGGATAATGCAACGGTTTCATCCCCATGAACCTGGGAGCTGCCCACGAGGCCACTCTCGAAGCAGAGCTTCACAGCCGCCCACAGGGACAGAGGACAAGGGGCTGAGACCTGGGGCCCGTGCCACTTGTGGGGGCACATGGGGGCTGCTTTGGGACAGGAGACTCCCCGGGAGGGGTGGAGGCTTCACATGGGAAGGGCTCAGCAAGGACAAAGAACAGCAGAAGGATGGGTGGGAAACCAACAGGGCTCCGAATTCAGGACTGTCTGAAGCCCCGGACCTGGGAGACCCTGCAGGCGGGATCCACAAGCCCTGCCCTGGCAAGGCTGCTCACTGGGCCTCAGTTTCCCTCCTCTGCGAATGGGCAGGGAAAGCCTGTCGTGGGAATCCTGTGAGACTCTCTCATCAGGTAAAGGCCGGCACACAGTAGGTCTCCACAAACACACTGAGGCCACAGGAGTGAGGCCAGACCCAGACCCCACTGGCAGTGGACATCAGCCCCGCCAGCCCTGCCGCATACCCTCACACAGGACCCCTGACTTGGCTCACAGCTGCATGCCTGTGCCGCACTTGGCAATCTGGCAGGCCCCCAGGAGGCAGCAGATCTCCGAGGAGATGGGGATGAGGCTGGTGCCTGGGCTGCCACTGGCACTGGGCCGGGGGTGCACCAGGGACTGCATGATGTGGCAGAGCTCGTTCAAGGCATTGATAGGCTGGATCAGCTGCCGGGCGAGAGGCTGCACGTGGCTGGGGGAGGCCCGGCTCCCCTCCCAAAGGCTATGTCCCAATGAACCTGCCTCAGCTCCTGCCCCAGAAACATCCCTAGCACTCCACCGCCCGCAGGCTGGCATCCAGTGCCCACTGTGTCTTCTAGCCTTCTTCACCCTTCACCCTCTCCAAAGCTGGGGTGGTCTCTCCCCAGAACAAGCTTTCCTCAGACGCCCCCCCCAGGCCATGTGTGCAGGCCCAGTGTCCACTAGCCCCGCCCCCAGCCACCTGTGCAGGCTTGAATGGCAGCCCACTAGTCCCACCCCCAGGCACCTATGCAGGCTTGAATGGCAGTCCACTAGTCCCTCCCCCAGCCACCTGTGCAGACTTGAATGGCTGTCTATTAGCCCAGCCCCCAGCTACCTGTGCAGTCCAATGGACATGGACTTCCATCTTCCAACCTACGACACTATGCAACTGGGATTACAGCCACACACAACCATGCCTGGCTTATTTACTGAGTTGGAGGTCTCACAAACTTTTTGCCCAGGCTGGCCCTGAACTTTGATCTTCCCAATTTCTACCTCTCCCAGTAGCTGGGATTGCAGACTTGAGCCACTGTGCCCAGTCTGTGGGCTCATGTTCCCACAGGAACACCTCCCGGGCACACGCAGCATGGGGTTCACAGCTAATCTGCGTGCGGCTCCAACTCACAGAATTCATTGGTAAATAAGGATGAATGAGCGGGCTCAGGGGGCTGGGAGCCTTCCCAGGGGAAGGGGCCCTCCCAGAGCCTTCAGGAAGAGGCGCTGCCGAGCCACAGGGGCTTCTGGGCCAGGATGCTAGCTGGGGTGAGGCCCAACTCGAGGGCCCCATCGGCCCACACTTCCTGTGACCTGAGACACACCTGGTCGATCTTGACCACTGTGGTGCTGGCATCGGTGGGCAGGTTGGACCGTTCCAGGTAAAATGCCCTGAGAGGAAGACATGGCCAAGGACACTCGCTGTCTTCCCGCCCCTGCTCTGAACCCAGTGTCTACAGCCACTGCCTGCACCCTCTTCCCTGGGCTCCACGCCTTTTCCTCAGGGACCATGCCCTCACGCAGGATATATGGACAGCCCGTGTCCATGGGCCCCACTCGGTTCCTGCCTCACAGACAGAATCCACACACCCCTGCCCTGACAAGGCTGCTCACTGGGCCTCAGTTTCCCCCTCTGTGAATGGGCAGGGATGGCCTGCTGCATGCATCCTGGGAGGCTCTCCTCAGGCAAAGGCCCAGCACACAGCAGGTGTGCGGCTCTCCTTGGGTACCTGAGCTTGCAGCAGTACTGCTGCACCTTGTCTAGTGACTGGGCATTGATCTCCTGCTCCATGTCCTCCACCACCTGGCTGCCTGGAGGTGGATGCCCCTCCACATTGTCTAGATCTGTGAACAGGAGCTGAGAGGGTGGATGGCCCCCAATGCCTGGTGGCCGTGCCCCTCCCCCCTCCCGCTGGAAGCTCACCCTTGGTGAAGAGCACAGTGTGCAGCTGGAGGCTAGCCCTGCTCTCCAAGCAGGACGGCAACCTGGATAAGTGGAAGCTGTCCAGGTAGAAGACCACCCTCAGAGCCTGCCTGCTGCCCTGGAGGTGGTAGAAGATGTTGGCGTCTGTGGAGGGCAAGGTGGGCGGGTGGCTCAGGGCGAGGCCCAGGGCAGCTGGGCCTGCACTGGGGCCGATTCTGCACGCTGGCACCACCCATCCACCCCAGGCCAGGCTCAGCCCCATGTCACCCCAGCCTGGGGGGTGGGGGGAGGGGCCCAGGAATGCCTTGTTCTCCTACCCTGAGCTCCCTGTCTGGCCAGCTGGACAGGCTGTGCCTTCAGTGCCCCACTTGGGCTCCCCTGAGGCCCTTCAGCCCAGGCCCTGCCTCCTGAAGCAGCCCACACCCACCCAGGCCTGCACCATCTTCACCCACACAACAGCCCTTGGCTGGGATGTTGGGACCTCTCAGCCTCCACAAACTAAAGAGGCCCCAACACCCTTGGGGTGTAGAGTGATGCTGGGCTGATAGTTGGTTACTGAGTGGGGGCTGGGGAAAACATTCTTTATGCAGAAAGCGGCATTTAAACTTGAGGAGGAGGGGGAGGGGAAGGAAGAGGGGAGGGGGAGGGGAAGGGGAGGGAGAGGAGGGGAAAGGTGAGGAGGAGGGGAGGGGAGGGGAACTGTGCAGTCTTCATGACAGGATAAGCCCTTACAAATCTTAAGTCTTCACCTTGAAGAAGGGCTTCCCTTAGAAGGGGCTGTGGCATTTTTTTTTTACAAGCTGTGAAGACAGCTGGGCATGAGTGAAAAGAAACTCCTCTTTCTGCACATGGACTGCAAGCTGGCCTAGAGAGTCCAGCCCCAGCAGGGACAGCAGGGGTGGGGGCCCCGGTCACTCACTGGCTACGAAGTTCTTGTCCAGCTGGCTGAAGGAGAAGCTGACGTTGTCCAGCTCTAACAGCATCCCCCACAGGTCCTTCAGCATGCTCCCCTTCTCCTTCTGCGGGGACAGGGCGCAGCAGGACTTTGGACACCACCCCCCACCCCTGCTCCCCCCCTCCCCCCCATCCCCCGCGACCCACACGCTGACAAGCCACTGGGCACAGGCCCCTGGTGTGGCTCAGCATTGGGCAAAGGCTGTGCCCTGGCGCATCCTGTGCCTGCTGCAGGTTAGGACGCAACTCGGCCCTGACTGCTAAGTGGCCCTAGTGATGCCCTGTCTCCCTCACGGGCACGGAGCTGCAGACTTAACCAGGCTCTAGAACCTTGATCCACCCAAACTCATGGGCCCCATCCCCACCTGAGGCCTCACATTCGGGATCCATGGCTGTACCCAATGGCCACCACCAAACCCCCAACTCCCAGCCACTGCCCAAGGCCAAGTGCAGGGCCAGAGCAGAGTCTGGGGCCCTTCCCCCTCCTTAATCAGGACCATCCATTACCTTTTATGCACGTTACTCATCTGCCTAGAATAAAGCCTCAGCCACCTCATCCCAAGCCCTGCCTGCTCCCCTCTGGTAGCACTGCCTTGGGGCCTTTACAATGCTGCTCTCACTGCCCAGCACACTCTTCTTCCATTTTCCTGGCTGGCAAACACCTCTGCTCAAACATCATCTCTGCAGAAAGACTTTCTGCATGGCCTCACTGTGGGTGGCCCACAGCCCAGCCCTGTCTCAGTCCACCTACCCCTGCTAGAATGTACTCCACAGACCCAGCCAGCACAGCACCAGAGGCAGAAGGAGGGGACTGAGTTCTGGAAGAGGACAGCCAGGGATGGTGGCCCAAAGCCCTCTGGGCCCAGGCTGGACTGGGCTCTTTGCCCACTTGGAGCATGTGCCTGCCAGCAGGGGCCAGCAGAGGACGCTCCAAGGCCACGCTGCCGGTCACAGCTGGGCCTTGGGACCTGGGGGCCCTAGTTTGTGCTAGGGGCAGACAGGGATTCTGAGCAGCACCCCAGATTCACAGGTTCACACCGCAGGTTGGCTGTGCTCCCCGCCGCTGCCCAACCCCTTTGCCCCCACAACTGTGTCCCAGGTGGTCAGACTGATTGTTTTTGCTATTCGGGGTCTTTCATTGTTCCATATGAAATTTTTTATTGCTTCTTCTATTTCATTGAAGAATGAGGTTGGAATTTTGATTGGTATCGCATTGAATTTGGAGATAGTCTTTGGCAGTATTGCCATTTCACAATGTTAATCCAGGAGGATGGGAGGTTTTTCCACTTGCTTAGCTCTCTTTTAATTTCCTTTTTCAGGATTTTAACTTTTTTTTTGGTGGTCATGGGGCCTTAACTCTGGGCCTGGACACTATCCCTCAGCTCTTCACCTCAAGGCCAGCACTCTACCACTTGAGCCACAGTGCCATTTCTGGCTTTTCCTGCTTATGTGATGCTGAGGAATGGAACCCAGGGCCTCATGTATGCAAGGAAAGCACTACCATTGAGCCATCTCCTCAGCCCAAAAATAGATTTTATATTGACAACATTGTAATCTGTGTTTGTTCTTATCACTGATGACCATGGATTTATTAAACATTCTTTCAAGGCTGACAGGGAGATCAGAGTTCCCTTCCAGAGGTCAAGACATCTGATGTTGGAAGGGATGGTCCCTTACCTATGTTGACACCACAGCTGTGGCTGTGACTCTCACTGGATGATCTCCCAGAGCAGTCTTCTCCATGCTTGAAATATCCAGTTACTTCTTCCTCCTGTGTGACAGCTTCAGTGTAATAGGGAGAGAGAGCACTCAGTGATTGAACAAGACTGGTTTGTCTCCTTACTCATGGCAGTGATGCTGCTTGATCTCATTTTAATAGCATATAAGCAAACTGCATTGTTTCCAGGACAAAAATTTTGTAGGAAAACAGATATTTCTTTCCTGAACTTTTTTTATAGACAAAATCAAAAGCCATCTCTAAAGAAATTGCATGTTTCCTCATGTCCTTGTGAACAGATGATATTTCCCTTTCTTTCTATCTGAATTGACTGCATTTCCACAATAAACTGTTTCCATTCAGTCACTTTTTCAGTGTTGGTATCATGAAAAATTTGGTGTAAGAGATTTAATGTAATGTGGTCCTAGGAAACACATACACAGAATGTGATTCTAGAACTTAGTGATTCCTAACAGCAGGATCTCAATATTAGAAGGAAGTGAAGGGTACAGAAAGAGTGCAGCATCCCACACGCTAATATCTATGGTGATTGCTAGGGATTTAGGGGCAAGTTGTTGCAGTAGTTTATGTGAAATCTTTAGCATTTGATAAGCATTTGGAGTTCCCAGTTTGTGCATTAGCAGACTGTTGTTATTGCAAATGAGAGACCTTGCATGAGAAAATTAAACTAGAAAGCATAGATTTCTGAATTTGTAAAAGAACATTATCTGAGAATAGATGAGCCACTGATTTATACCAGCAGACTTTTAGTCTTCATCTCAATGACCAAGCAAATTTCCTGTGTCATCTATTGCACATTCAATAACATTTATCAAACAATTTATGAACATAGATGGCACTACTAGTAAGGTCTCACTGCCTTAAGATATATAAAAGAGAGAGACAAATGTTAAAAATTAGTCTAAGTTTTGTATGTTGAGTATGTTTCTTTCTATTTTCAAGCCATTGTGGAAAAATATGACAAAATATCTAAGGAGCAGTGTATAAGACCTTACAATGTTTATTCTGCTCTAATTATTACTGATGTCTTCTGACTGAAAAACATAATTCTGCTACCTTCCCTGAGTTTCAACTGTATTTCACATAGTAACAATAACTTAATTAACTGGTTTGTCTGAAGACTCTTGACTGTTAAATCCAAGGCCCTGAAGCAAGCTGAGTTCTTTAAGTTAGGACTTGTGAGTGAGTCTATTACTAGCTGGAAATTAGCTTGTGTGATTTTTCTCATTGACTTGGAAGTTCTTCCACATTCCACTCAAAGCCCTGCTGCAACTCTCCACACACACTCATGTCCCAGTTCTGAGTCCTCTATTCTGTTCCATTGGCCAATGTGTCTGTTTTTGTGCCAACACTATGATCTTTTTGCTATTATGGTTCTTTTAAATAAAGTCAGATGTTATGATATTTTCAACAAGGAATTTGAGTTTTAAAGCTGTGCCATTTCTTCAACCAGACCATTCATTATGTAAATTAAAATAAAAATATTTATTTACTGTATTTATCTACTTTTGCTTTCCCTCCCCCCATTGGTTGTGGGGCTTGCACTCTGTTCTTGAGCTTTTTCACACAAGACTATCACTCTACCACTTTAAGCCACAGTACCACCTCTGATTTCTGGTGGTTAATTGGAGATAAGAGTCTCACAGACTTTCCTTTCTGAGTTGGCTTCAAACCACAATCCTCACATGTGAGCCTTCTGAGTAGCTAGGATTATAAGCATGAGCCACCAGTGCCCAACTATATAGATTTATTTTTTATTAGTATATGCTAATGGTAATGATGTTGGTGATAGCTTTCTCATATGTAGACTTCAGTGAATTCTAAGTATTGTTCATAGCTTTTATCACGAATAAATGTTCAATTTTGTTAAAGGCTTTTATGTGTCAGTTGAAATGATCTTGTGATTTTTGTTTATGATAGTGCTTATGTGATGTGTTACATTTATTGATTTATGTATGCTGAGCTTTCCTTTTATTGCCCTATATTCTTTTTATTTTAATACTTTTTATTGTAAAAATACTGTACAGAAGGGTTACAGTTACATGAGCAAGGTAATGAGCACATTTCCTATCAAGCACCGTTGTCTCTTCCTTTGCTTCTCCCTTACCATCCCTTCCCTCCCACCTCCACAACTACATCCACCACCACCTCCCCCCCCCCCGCCCCCCCGGCTAAATTGTAAAGTTCATTTTTTCTTTTTTTTATTCATAGGATAAGCTTTATTTAAACATCTACAGAAATACAACTTGATGTCAAAATGCAAGTGTTTCCAAAGTGTTAAAATGATTATTCAGTGCTAGAACTCAGCTCTTTCCTTTAGTCTGTCTCTGAATTTGGTAGTGAGCATCATTGTGAAGGGTCTCTTTTCCCTGCTCATTTTCATTGTCTTCCTCTCTCTGGTCTTGGAGTGGCATGTTCCAGTTCTCTGGAAACTTCTCACATTGTTTTCATTTCCAACAGAGGGCAAGGGCATTTATCTCTACTCCATCATGGGAAATCTATACCCCCTCAATTCTCTTGTTCAAATTGTGGCTGTATAAACAGTGTCATGAGGAACTTCACATTACCAAAAAAAACCATTTATAATTTCTTTCTTTTTCTTTTGGTCGGTTGTGGGCTTGAACTCTGGGCTTGGGCACTGTCCCTGCACTCTTCAGCTCAGGGACAGTGCTCTACCACTTGAGCCAGAGTGCCACTTCTGGTTTTCTAGTAGTTTATTGGAGATAAGAGTCTCACAGACTTTCCTGCCTGGGCTGGCTTTGAACCGTGATCCTCAGATCTCAGCCTCCTGAGTAGCTAGGATTACAGGCGTGAGCCACCGGTGCTCAGCTTATAATTCCTTTATGCTATAACAGTAACCTTGTTTTTAATTAAAAATTGTTTTTATTATTTCTCTACAAAGAGATAAAATAGTTAAAAATACCTATGAAAACATTGAAAAAGCACTTTATATTCCTAAACTGACATGATATACTTTGTATGGTTTACAACTAAGAATAAGATAGTAAACCCTCTGCATTTAAATTTCTGGATGATTTCAATAGGAATTTGTAAGATGAAGTTGGAAAGACTTAAAAAAAAGATTGTCAATTTCAACTCCAATTAAGTTTTGAAAAGCTACAGACTTGCTGATAAGCACTAATGATAAGAAGAATCTGGTAGATTCATAGCTAAGATTTGTATGCTAGGCATGCCAAGCACTTCCCTGTAATTGATTGAAGTATTTTTTTCCTTATTTTCCCCTTATATTTTAAATAAAAGTAGAAATATACATATGGTAAAAAATGCACATAGTACAGAGAGATCTAAAGGAACAATATGCTTCTCCCATAGCAGATTTATGCCTTCAGTCATATGAGTATTTCACAAAAAGTATTACTTTTGAGTAAGACTCAAAAGTATCTGCACATACTTTTCAAGCTGTTGGAACTGTCTTGTCTTCTCTAATACCTCTGTTATAGAGGAAAGTCCTGAAGTCTTCCCCTTCATAAAGAAAGTTTAAAAGGCAACATGCACATGGTTTAGTTCACACAGCACTTCTGACACCACTGGATCTAGTCACATCTCCACAACGTCCCAGGGGATCATTCAGAGATGCTCTAGCACTCAGCCAAGTCCTTCCTGAATGCCTCAGATCCTTCTGGCCAGCTGCACATCCTTGAGGAAGAGGAGATAGGCATCCTCAAAAAGGTGAACCAGAAATGCTTCTACTGCCTCCTGAAGGGCCAACAGGGCCTGTGCTTGCCAAGTGAAGTCAAAACCTGGAGTGAATTTATTGCATATTTCTCTTGCCAGGCGAGCAAAGGGTACCTTCCTTAACAAGAGGTATGTGCTCTTCTGTAGCTTCCAGACCTCTGTAAGCCAGCCGTATCTCCATTGGAAGGTGCGCCGGGACATGCTGGGCGTCCGGGTCAGGCTCTCACTGTGCCTCCTTGGGGACTTGGGCTTGCGGCGCGGGCCCATGGCGGGCCGCGAGGGTCCCGGCGTCTGAACCTAGGGACCAGAGGCCGGCGGCCGGAAGTAAAGTTCATTTTTTCAACATAGTGTCTTGTACATCTCATTGTTACAATAGGTCAACCTGTATCCCATTTAAGCATTTTGTTTTTTTTTCCCTTCCCCTCCCCAAATTAGAGAAGTGTATATATAAGATGCAGGGCACCTAACCCCTGTTTTCACTGTATTTGATGCCTTATATTCTTTATATTCCTTATATTTCCTTATATTCCTTCTATTTCCTTAGATTACAAAATGTTCATGGTGTATGATCTTTTTAATGTATTGTTGAATTCTGTTTGTATTTTAGTGAGCATTTTTCCAGAAATGTTCACCAGGAGATTGATCTATAATTCTCTCTTTTTGTTTGGGTCTCTGTGTAGATTGGGAAAACTGCAATACTGGCTTTTGTTTTTCTACAAGTTTGCTGTACAGGTTAGTCTATGTATTTGGAAATTTTATGTGGAATTTTTTTTTGGTAGAGGGTCTGGGCATTTTTAACTACAACTGACATCATGTCCTTTGCTGTTTTCCAGAGATTCTGGTAGTTTGTGTTTTTTATTTTCATTCGATTCCAGAATTGTTTGGATTTTTTTTATTTCTTTATTGATCCACTTGTCATTCACATGTGTTACTTAATCTTCAAGTGTTAAATATTTGTAGTAACTTTTACTAAGCTTAGTTCTTTAATTGTCATACAATAGAATGCAGGGGATTTTTAAATGTTTCTGCATTTGGTAAGATTTCTTTATGACATAAAATGTTATCTATTTTAGACACTGCTCAATGGACTTCAGAAAAGCATGTGTATATTTCAGTTGCTGTATGAAATACTTTATTGATGTTCCTTAAGTCCATTTTATTTGTATTATTGTTTAGTTCTGAGTTTTCTTTGTTGATTTTTCTCTTGACTGACCTATCTATTGGTGAAAGCAGGGTACTGAAACTTCTCCCTAATATATTTTTGTTGGGACAGGGTCTCTGTCTATGTAACCTAGGTTGGCTTAAAAGGTGCTATGTAGCCCATGCTGGCCTAGAACTTATGCACATCATGCCTTAGCTTCCCAAGTGCTAGGATTAAGCTATCCATTTATTCATCTAATTTGCATTGAGAAGTATTTTTTAATTACCTGACAGATTTCTGATATTGTTTGAGGTGTGGGAATAGCATAATTTAATTTGTCTCTGCTATCCAAACTGAGCTAATGACTAGGCATGTTGATATTTTTACAATTCTATCCTAAAACTTGTTTTTCTAATTTTTCAGTGACTCACTCGGTGAGCAAAAAGTAAAGTCAAGTAGTAAAGTTAAATTCTTCTTAGAAGTGTTTGGAGTAGTGTTTCTAAATAAGATGTAATGGCTAAATAAATGTAATGGCTCAAAATACAAAAATAGAAAAGAGAATTAAAGAGAATCACCAGAAAGCTACAAGTATATTGGGGATGGAGGAGGGGGAGAGCCAGAAGGGAGTTATAGCACTGGCCTTTGAGAGGTTAACAGTCCTCTGAGTTTTGGATCTTGTCCACAAGGGGGCCCATCTTCCAAACACACGCCCACTTCCTGCTGTCATCCTCAGCTTACATTCATCTTTCCCTATGCCTTCGCCTTTCCTTACAACAAGAAGTCAAGATTCACTGACTGCAGAGGCTCTGAAAATGAGCTGCTCCCCAGGACCAGTGATTGCACTGCTTTTATTGTTTTGTGAGTGATATGGCACAAAAAGTAATTCTTCTGCTGATGAATCCTCTGCTGACAGAATCTTTAACCCTGGTTTAGCTAAGAAACAGGAGGGTCATGACCAAGCAGATTAAGGTATCTCCTGCTGAATTCTCATATTTTGTTTTCAGGCAGAAGCAATGGAGACTCGGTGACCCAGACAAAAGGCTAGTGGCCGTGTTGGAAGGGGCTTCCCTAACTGTGAACTGCTCCTATGAAACCAAACAGTACCCTACCCTATTCTGGTATGTCCAATACCCTGGAGAAGGTCCACAGCTCCTTATTAAATTCTCCAAGGCCAATGAGATGGGAAGCCGCAAAGGATTTGAAGCCATGTATGACAAAGAAAGAAGAAAGCCATAGTCCTAGTGTCAGACTTGGCTGTGCTCTGAGAGACACCGTGGCTGTACTATTGTGCTCTGAGAGACACAGTGGCAGAAACTACAGGGGGAGCTAAGCACAAACAGTGACAGCAGGGGCCTGGCTGCTGAGTTCCTGCTTCAGGGAGAGGAACCAGACTACAGTTGTTGTCATCACCACATCCAGGGCTAGAATCACAATAGGAGAACTTGGAATAGACATGCCGCACAGAGATGTTTTCACAGTGAGAAGGAAAAACAGTCTGCACCATAGTTCCCAGACTGGGTGTGAAATTTGTGATTTTAGGATTACAAAACTTGGAGATGAATGAAATGTTTTATCTGTTCATGCTTTTTACTTCTTAGGCTCTGTGGTAACTGGGATTGAATTTGGGGCCTTATACTTGCTAAGCAAGTCCTCTAACATTTGAATATCATGCCCCAGTCTTCTTGCTTTTAGTTTGTTTTTCAGATAAAGTCTTGAACTTTTTCTGAGTTCATGAACCTACTACCTACACCTTCTAACTTGTTGGAATTATGGCATGCTCCCTCCCCCCCACAACTGGCTTGTGTATGTTCATCCTCTGATAACACGCTATCCTCCTGAACTTGACTAAGGTCACAAGCTTTTGTGTTAAGAGACACAGTTGAAAGTGTAAATATTAATGTCTCCCTCATAAGTTGATGATCTAAAGAAAGTTATTTCAGAAGAATGAAACATAAAGCTGAGTTTATCCCAATAAATAACAAATTCTTAGCAAAAGAAATTGAATTGCTATCCTGGTGTCTTAGAGGTTGAGGTTCTAGTGAGTCACAGATTCCCTAGTACTTGCCAAGCTAGAATGGGGAGGAGGTGACCATGGCTGCAAGACAGAATGGATGGCAAAGAAAAGAATATATAGATGTCTTGGGCTGTCCTTTTAGTCATGACTATATGTCAGTTTTTTGGGGACCTGTGGTACATTTTTCCTTGTGAGGAGTATTCTTGGCACAAAAAGTGAGAGAGAAGAGAGGTTTATAATCATTCACTGTCTCACAGTATATAGGAAATGCTTAGTGACCTATGTTTATGTTTCTCTATTATCTGTGATCTATTATGCATCTATCTATCTATCTATCTATCTATCTATCTATCTATCTATCTATCTATCTATCTTCATTGGCTATAAAGATTTTGGGCCATTTCCACTGTTTGGTTATTGTGGCAAGTGCTACAATCGACATAGGTATGCAAGTGCCTTACCTTCTGACTTACATTCTGTTATATGAATGCCTGAGGAGTATGGCTGGGTCACACAATAGCTCTGTTTGTTTATGGTTTTTGTTAAAATTTCATACTGATTTTGATAGTGGTTTCAGTTGTTTAGGGTCCCTTTTTCTTCATATCCACAGCATTTGTGCTTGTATACATAATATTGGTCATTCATATTCTGTGTTTGTGTGTGTGTGTGTGTGTGTGTGTGTGCATACGTGCTGGTACTGGTCCTTGAACTCAAGGGTGGCAACTACCACTTGAGCCACAGCTCTGCTTCAGGCTGTTTAATTTTTTGGTGATACATTGAAGAAAAGGGTCTCAGGAAATTTGCACTTGCTTGACTTTGAACTGTAAAATTCACACCTCAGATTTCCAAGTAGCTAGAATTACAAGTGTTAGCTGCGGGTGCCAGCCTCTCAATATTGCTTGGTTTGGATTTATTTTATGGCTAGGAATGTTGAGCAGTTCTTCATGTATTTGCCAGCAATTTTACCTTTTTTGTTCATCTCCTTTGCCTGTTAATTAATTGAGTTGTTGATTTTTGACAGGTTAATGTTTGAAAACTCTCTGTGCATATTTTAATCAGATATATAGCTCTCCTCACGTATTCTGCTTCACCATTCCAACAAGGATGTGGAATCAAATGCTGCAATTCCCAGACTTTCAAATTTTTGGAGAGGATGGTTCTTGGAGGGGTGTTTGGCATTGCTGAAACAACTTTACAAGTTTAATCCTCACATCCTCAACCACATCTGATGAAAGCCATTCCTATGCACCAAACATGATCAAAAGTAAAGGCTTACTCTCTGGACTGGTCTCTGGTTTGGAGGACGGCCTATAAATCTGAGTGTGCCATGAGATTTAAGTTGAAAATAGATTCTTGCAAGAATTTTACAGTCATATTTTACTTGGACATCACTGAGTGCATATTAAGAGCATTATCACATATTCTTTTCTTCAATAACTGGTGACAAAGCAGCCCTCCCTTAGTCTAGCAAACTGATAAACTTCAAGTAGCATTCAGGCACCAGTGGTTCATGCCTGTAATCCTAACTAGTCAGGAGGTTGAAATCTGAGGATTGCAGTTCAAAGTCAGCCCAAGCAGGAAAGTCCATGAGACTTATCTCTAATTAACTACCAAAACCAGAAGTAGAGTGGTGGCTCCAAGTGATAGAGTGCTAGCTGTAAACAGAAGAGCCCAGGCCCTGAGTTCAAGCCGTATAACCAACCAAAACAGCAAGAACTAAAAAAGTATGTTTGGAAAAAGTACAAATAAATCCATATATGTTGCAATATGATTCAGAAACCTTTTCATATTGGTGGTTTAAATGCTTAAAACAAAAATATAATAATTATTCCATATATATAACATATATGATATATATACTCACTTTTTTGAGATCATTTTACTACATAGCCCCATGTGACCTCAAAGTCATGACCCTCCTGATCTTTTCCTGCCAAGTCCTGTGATTATAAGCATCAGCTGCAACTCTGAGCTCAATGTACACATTTTCTAATCAACTCAACACTGATAGTTTTTCTCAAAAACTATCTGGTTATTTTTTATTTACAATAAATGTTGAGTGAAATCTGACACAAAGTTACATTTTATTTTATTTTTATTGTGAAAGTACCA